GTGTGTGTGTGTGTATATATATATATATATATATATATATATATATATATATATATATATATATATATATATAAAAATCAATTTGTGTTTTGGTTTTAATATAAAAAGCAGTCTATCCATTTCCAATAACTGCTTACCCAATATGGGCTTGTGGCAGTCCTGGCACCAATCCCAGAAAGCACAGGGCACACGACGGGGCACCCTGGATGACATCGCCCAACTGCCTCTAAATATAAAAATACAAAATATCAAAACAAGAGATTTAGTCGCCAGTTATCAGATTTTATCAGCAAACATGGTGCTGGTTTGCAGAACAGGCATCAGCGTATAAGACAATACTACCTTGGTGTTCCCAAATAAAACAGCAGCCCTCTGTGTTTCATGTACCTATAACCTTCAGAATGTACACTATAATTCAAGAAAGATGTTCACTAGTGCATTTCTGGAGTCATAGGCAAACACAGTCAAACCAGCTGGGATGCCTAGGTCAGCTTTACAGTTCCTGTCACAAAAGGATGGTTCTGATTTAATAAACCAGACCCTAAATCTACTGGATCCTGTATGGCCTCAGGTGGAGAGCTGAAAATCATGAACGTCGCAGCAAGTCCACATCTGAAAATCTAATCTGTGTCTTATATCTAATAGAACAATCACAGTAAACATTGAAATTCCATCCGGAGTCGAATCCGAAATTGATCACAATGAAAGCTCCAAACACTGCCATGCTATTCTCTAACCATATTGTGTGAGAGACTGTAACCCTATAAAATACTGCTCATGTCCCAAAACTGCACACCCTGGAGCTTATTTCAGGAAGCACAAGGTGTGAGGTATGGTGCACGCTAGAAAGGACAGTGTCCTTCTCAAGGCACATGCAGAGACAAAAGGACAGTTTTGTTACACCAGTTTAATGAAAGTCTTTGGTCATGCAGGACAAGGACACCCACCAAGGGGACTCCATTTTAATTTCTTACTCCTATCAGTGTGGTTTTTCCTTTGCTTATTGTAGCCTCCCTTTCTCTCCATTGGTCTTTGTCACTGAGCCAAAGCAGACTGCTGGCTACCATCTGGGGGGGGGGGGGGGCAGTGTCACTCTGCCTCCGCTTTCTGCCCCCTTTCTTATCGCCATCAAAGGTGGATCGGATATCCTGTGGCATCACTTCCCAAGTTACAGAAAGCAAGCTGGGCAGACGTGTCTCTTTTGTTCGGACGCAGCCACACCTGCACTGATGTACAGTGCAGCGTTACTAAAGGCAGACTGACAAAAAAAAAATCCGCTTTTATTAGGCACATTAAAGAAAAAGGTAAGAGATGCTTTACCTCCCATTACTATTAAAGCTCATTTACGTCAGTTATGCATGCCGCCTACTTAGTAAAATCAATCAAACATAAAAAAACAGTTTTAATTCGCAACAAGATACAGAAGTTATAAGGCCAACTTGCAATTCATATTCAGCAACATGATGGAAGCCTGTTACTTGTGTCAATATGATCTTTACAAATGCTATACAAAAAATATAGAAAATAAGCAATACAAAATAGTATATACTTCTGGATTGTGTTGTGCTTCTAGCTGCAGGGTATTATGTAGAAAAAGGTACATTTGTCCCTGGATGAGAAGCACCAGCATAAGCTTTGTATCCTGACAATTTTCACTTCAAGATATGTGCGATCAAAAAAAAGAAAAACACAACAACAACAACACTGACATATCATTGGCCTCTGTGTGCAATATGGGGGTTTTGTTCTTTTGTTTTTTTCTTTTTTCTTTTCAAACCATTCCTTGCAGGCGGTGCCTTGGGAGCAGCTAAACAAGGACAATCTACAAGCGGCCTCGCAGTTATTTTGACACCGACAAGGTATCAGAAGAATCTCTCTCAAACGAAACCCCTCCAGAAAGTTGTTAGCCAGAAAATAGCGGCCAAAGGGGGCAGCTAGACTGTTCGATTCATGAGATAAAGGAAACCAGAGTGAAAACATGCAGTTTTGTTGTCTTGAATCTTTCATGGACACAAAAAAATTGGATTAAATGTATATTGAAGTCCTCCAACTCATTGCTAGTTCAGTGAATATGGACACATTGAAACACTCAGACACAGGCTTCAGAAGTGACTTGCTCTCTTTAAAAGGTAAGCATTTTTGTCAATAAAACGAAAAATTTGATATACTTGATCAGCCGTTATCTCATAAGCATTCAACTCCCTTGTCTGCGGCTCCAGCTAAGGTTCTGCCAGTTTACTCATGAGGTCATTCTAAAACTTAAGATAAACTCATCTGTGATCAATTAAGCCCATCATTAGAAAATTCATAAAATACAGAACCACCCAAACTCTTCATGGCATAGGGCGTCCTCCCAACTGAGAAAAAGGACGTGCTTGTCAGAGGAGTGACCCGAGAGCCAGTGTTCACCTGACAGAAACAGACTTCTGCATCTTAGATGGGAGAACCTGTCCAGTGGACAACAGATGTCACCTCTATGTGCCAAAGGGTAAGCAAAATTCCCCACTGGTGAAAAGATCACTTTAAGACATGCCTGAAGTGTTCAAGAAGACATGCTGCAGAGTCCGCTATCATATGGAAAAAGAATTTGCAGTATGATGAAAACATATGAATGTTTGGCACAAGAATAACACAGCTCATCTGCCAACACCTTCACTACAGTAAAGTATGGCTCTGTCTGTATCTATTACAGAGGGATGCCTTTTAGCTATAGGGACCTGGGAACATGTCAAGATAGAGAGAACAAAGATTGGAGCCAAATGCAGTCAAATCCTAGAGGAGAAGCTGATAGTCAGAAAGAGATTGGGGCGGAGATTTACATTTCAATGGAGAACAAAACCAGAGCTTACAGGCAAAACAGTGCTGTGATGGCTATGGTATGAGAAGGTGAAGGTCCCGGTGCCGGCCCAAACGAAGTTCATACTTGAATCCTATTCAAAACAGGAGGGTAAATTCACTGAAGTTCCCCATCTGTGTTGACAGAACTGTTTCTCACTTTACCCGCTATAATTTCTGCCACACAAAGCAGACTGATACAGGTAAACATTCTGATGTGTAGCAGGAATGTTTAAAAGATGGCATCTTGAAGGGTTAGAAATGTTTTGTGAGAAGTATATTACCCTAATCACCTGTAAATGTGATTCAATGCACAATAAAACTGTGGAACTTAAAATGAATGAGTTTCAACAACAACAAAAAAAATCTAATGAGAGTGACAGAGTTTAGATCACCTGCAGTGTAAGACATTTAAGACACTTAATGGACATTTATCCACCAGATCAGGCCTCAACAGTTTTGTTGATTTTCAGCTGAATCCTTTCCACCTCATATAGGGAGCATTGTTGTTGTTGTGACATGTACACGGATTCGGACAGGATACCTCAGGGCATGATGGGATAGGCGTTCTGGATTTTCTGCTCTCCTGCACATTGTGCTTTTCTACTTCCTGTACTTGAAAGCTGTTTGCATGACTCACTTCATTTATTCATAAGTGATGTTTTAACTAACTTACAGCACCAGTCAAAAGTTTGGACACAGCAGGCTGCTTACAAAGGAGAGTGATAGTGTTGCATCACATGACCTGGCCACCTGACCTAAACATAGAAGAAATGGTTTATGAGGAGTTTGACCAGAGAGTGAAGGAAAAGTGGTGACTGAGAGCTCAGAATATGGGGGACCTCCTTCAGACAGCTGGAAAAGCATCCAAGGAGGCCACCTCATGAAACTGGCATGGAGGAGAAAGTAGGGTCAGCCATGCATTTACATTTATTTTTACTTAGACGCTTTTCACAAAAGCAACAAACAAGTGAAGCAAACAGCACATTACAAACACACATGCTGTTAAGGAGTCCAGCAAGTATGAGTGCAGCTAGGTTGAGCTTCCAGTCAATGTCGAGGTACAGGAGTAAGCAATGTTATTTTGTAGTGATCAATGTACATGTTTTTTAAAATAAAGCTCTGCAATTTTTTGAGTGCACATATTTGTGAACATCTGTTTTGTGTTTCCAAGTTATGTCAAACATAGTCTCGAATGATAATATGCAAATCTTTCAACTATTATAAGATTTTGTGTCTTGCAAAAACATTTCATACCACTTTACTGACGAATAATTTTTTTCATGTTGCAAGATATGTGAAGAGACTTAAGGCTTGATAACATACGATCATTGCTCTGGCCGGTAAAATGTTAAGACCCAAAGGAATTGTCAAAAAAAAATAAAATTACAAAATGTATTCAATATAAATGCATGTCACACATATTAAAATTGCTGAAGGAAAGGTACAACACATGGCCACAATTCTGCTAAATGGCGTTCATATTAACACATCCAATTAATTTGTAATGGATCCTTGAAATGGATCCTTGTAATGGATCCTTGTAATATACCCCGGTATGTACTCTTCTGATCCAGCCTTGATTATTTTACTTTAGTATAATTAACCGTTTTGTCAAACAAAATGTGTTTCTTAAGAAGATGTTTTAATTATCCTGATCTGTGGACTATGTATGAAATTTAAAATCTGTTTAAGATAATTTGGGCACAACTATCTTTCCAGTTTACAAATAAATGATAGCAATCACTTAATGCTTGACGGTATACCAGTTCATCCAGTATACTGGTTTTTATGTACCGTATGAGTTTTTCATACAGTCAGGACCATAAATATTTGGACAGAGACAAAGTTTTTCAATTTGTAAGTTCTGTACATTATCACAATAAATAAAAAAAAAAAACAAGTCAGATGCAGTTGAAGTGCAGACTTTCAGCTTTAATTCAGTGGGTAAAACAAAAAAATTGCATAAAAATTTGGGGAACTAAAGTAATTTTTCTACACAATCCCCTCCTTTCAGGGGCTCATAAGTAATTGGATAAATTAATATAACTGCAAATAAAATGTTCAATTCTAATACTTAGTTGAAACCCCTTTGCAGGCAATGACTGCCTGAAGTCTTGAACTCATGGACATGACCAGACGCTGGGTTTCCTCCTTTTTAATGCTCTGCCAGGCCTTTACTGCAGCAGCTTTCAGTTGATGTTTGTTTGAGGGTCTTTCTGTCTGTAGTTTAGTCTTTAGCAAGTGAAATGCATGCTCAGTGGGGTTGAGATCAGGTGACTGACTTGGTCACTTGAGAATATTCCACTTCTATGCTTTAATAAAGTCCTGGGTTGCTTTTGCTGTGTGTTTTGGGTCATTCTCCATCTGTATTATGAAATGCCACCCAAT